GTGTTGTTAAAAATTGGGGTGGGAAATATACAATGAAACCATTGATAAAATCACCGATTGGTGGGAAAATAAATGAGCACCTAAACCGGCTAAGATGGATGATATGTCCTTGCTGAAGGGACGGATCTCAGCAAAAAGAGATTGAGGGGGGTGGATGGATGGCTGAGCCGGTTTCGGACTAAAAACCGGTCGTGGAGGGTGCAGAACTGAGCGTGGGTGATAAGATTCGCGAACCAAAGTGTGGGCAAGGTGAATGTGGCAAGGAGAGGGAGAAGGGTGCAAGACCAACAGAAGTTGAAGGAGGAGAAGATGTAGGACGCTGTGGTGGTAATCAATGATACTGATATTATGGCTGTTAGGGACTCCATAAAAAACGTGGCGCACGGAAAAAACCACGGCGCAACGAAGTTCAAAAGAAGTACATAAATGAAGAACACAGTAAAAACACACAAAATAACGACAAAAGGGTACTTGAGGCACCTGAGAATCACACGGTGCAGGAAGTAGATGCCATACAATGATATGAGGATGAGAGCTAGCATACCAATGAAGTGGGGATCATGGAGGTTGAAACTAGCCAAAAGATGCAAAGGGGACGTCGCCATTGATAGAGAACCAAGAGATATCATTATCGTGGTTGGCTGCGTGAAACAAGGGTGATTTTAATCTTTCTGACTATCTGGATGCTTACAGAACCAATTGACAGCAAAGGGCACTGAGAATGACGAAGTTCTAGCATGAGTATGGGACAGCGTTACGAGGACACGTCTCCGAAGTCTAGGAAACTCATCAGTGGAGGAGGTTCGGCCGTTGTTGTGTTGGTCCTGAGTCCCTTTGGGGCAGCACACCTGCCCAGGGTTGTTAATCTTGTTAACATTTGCAGTCAGTTGCGACGTCTCTTCTTCTGAGGCGGCCGAGGCCGCCGGTCATCGTAGTAGCTGTAGTCGGACTCGTAATCCGATCGGTCTGGGGAATCGTAATCCGTAATCTGGTTGTTAGGGAGTTGCTGACGGCGAACGGGCGGGGGTCCTTCCTGATAAACTCTTCTCGGCCTCGGAGATGGCGGCTTGTCTCTAGGTCGCCATGGAGGAGGAGTTTCACGTCGATCTTGACCGCGGGCACGGTCTGGGCGGCCTTTGTAACGCGGTCGAACAGGACGAGTTTCGGCCTGTCCTCTTGGAGCTTCTCTCCGGGGCGATTCGACCTTTGTATCTTGTCTGGGTCGTGCGGCCGGTGTAGGAAGTGGGGGACTGTTGTGGGTCATTGGATCGGACTTGGTCTGTTGAACTACGCTGGGCGGCTTCACCATGTCCGGCGGGAAACGAAGAGGGGAGTGCGCTCGGCTTGAGGGGGTCACTGACGTGGTAGCCGACCAGCGGGAGTGTTTCTGAGGGATGAGAGGAGGCCAGAGCCAGACGACGATCCTCGGCCGTTTCTTCCCAAGCCGGTTTGGGAGGGGAGTAGGCCATATTCTGTGACAAATTGGTAACAATTGTAGACCGTCCACTTTATTGTTTTGGCTGCTGTTCCGTCGTCGGGGGAGAAAGAACCGGCCACCCTGTGCCATTGGGGGCACATACACCCACGAGAGGATCTTTTTATTGTAGCCGGCGGGACTGGATGGATCAACCGCTGCCGATCCTCTTCTCTGATGACGAGTTGCAGCCGGCCCAAGAGGGTACTATTCCCTTTTTCATTCCACGGCTTTATCTCCGGCAAGTCAACCCTAAGGGACGTCCTTCTTCGAATGCTTCCTTGAGGTCGGGGATGTACGGGGCCAACCAGCTCACCAGGTAGTCGTGGTGAATATTCCTCCAAGGATCGACCGGGGGTTCGATCTCGAAGGTGCAAGGAGCTTCCGTTGCAGGGGGCGGCATAAGTCCGTTTGGCCAATGACAAGTCCCCCATAAGGCCAATGAGGGAGACCTCGCGTCTCCTTTCAGTACGAACTCTTCAGGAGCTCCAGAGCGGCGTCGAAGGAGAAAAAGAGGGAACAAAGACCAATCTATGGGGGTGACGAGGAGATAGTGAATCCTTTTGCGAGTAGGGTCGGCCTCCATCATTTGCGTCCATTCAGTGTCGCTCATGACGTTTCCTCCTCCCATGATCCTTTGCACGTGTTGGGTGGCCGCGTCGGGAAGTTGTGGCCAGTTTTCGGTTTCTGGAGGTGTCCATAGACCGATCCCATTCTTGGTCCTCTCGAGCCAGGCGTCCGCGAATGTGGCCCGAGTAATGCGACCCAGACACATTCTCATGTAAAGATTGAAGAAGTCGTCATCTGAAGGCCCGTAGTGAAGAGCTCCAGGGTAATCGTCTAGGTTCCAATGGTCGGCCACCAAAGGACTGTTGAAGCGTTCATTCGGCGAGATACTCCTGACCCGCGAATTGCGGCTTGATTGTCCGTATCTCACGGAAGGATGTTCGTCGGCCCAATTGGACCGACAGCCAACTTGAGCTGGAAGATACGGCAGCATCAGCGAAGGAGTCGACGGCCGCTGGCGTGAAATGGCTCACGATAAAATGGATGGTTTCTGGCTACTGGGATAGGGTGTGTCATTGGTAGCATCGAGTGGGAAGTGAGCCCCAAAGGTTGCAAGGTGATCTGGGTGTGTTTGCGCCGATGTTGGGCGGACTTGGTATAACTGGATTTCGTTAATCTCGGATGCCCAGATTTTCGGAAACGGAAACCCGGCCTCACTGATGAACGAGTTGATGGATTATGTTCAGTGAGCCAATCATTCAGGGTCCGCAACTGGTCCAGGGAGTTCGAGTCATTGTGTTAACGTTTTAACACTAGGAGAAATTTTTCCGAGAGGGCGGATTTAATTCTAAGGACGAATTAAAGTTTTAGTCGGGCAGTTTTGGTAGCGGAACTGACGAGACATGTCATGCCACGGCAGTACCGACGCGTGCAATGGCAATACCGTTGCCATTGGCGCAGCAGACAAGCAGAAAAGCACATGGAATCATGTACGAACAGGATAGCTGGCAAAAGGCTGGAAAATCAGTGATAAGCTAAGACGGCTAAATCCTGCACAGGACAGAAAGAGTCCCGGGAACAAGCATTAACAGATATTTAGGACCACAATATTTCACCCAGACAATGGGGCTGGTAGCCAAACGCGTAACTAGGTGTCGTAAATCGGGGAAGCATTGCTAGTATTAAGCCTATGGCACTTCTGGTACTTCAGATCTCCCCTCGCCTATGAAGCATTGTGATTACCTCATGTTGACTCCATTGAACCCAGGGTGTTTGAGCATCATTCTCTCCTACGGCGTTTGCGAGCGATCGAGAGCCATTTTTCTTCTATTTCTGGACTTGGCGGTAGAGATATTGACTCTTCAGGGGAGTGCTGTGGATCAGCAGGCTCTGTTGAAGGGGTTTCCACCAAGGCAGTGTAAGGTACAGCTGCTTGGCTTCTTCACGCATTAGTTCAGGTATGAACGTTGTAATTAACCTGCATTGCTCTTTAGGGGCCCAGCGAGGCAGTCCTTGGGTCCATAATGGTATAAGGAGCAAGTTATTAGGTTTCACCTCCTTCACGCGATGGGGAAAAGAATGTACTGCTGTGTATTTCCTTTCATTGGTTAAATGTGAAGCTTGACTTCGCTCAGTCGTTGATAGTCGATATGTGACAATATCACCGATCTTGAAGTCTGATTTCGTAAGCTTCTGTGCTTCCGGAGCTGTTGACTGTTCGAGTTGAACCAACTGGTCAACCAACAGCTGTCTCCCGCGGTAATTACTCAATGCCGCGAATCGTGCTTCTTCAGTCATGGTGGGTTCAAAATCTCCGAGCCCAGGGATATGGAGATCCCATTCCAAAGACCAAGGATGCTGGTGTATCTCCTATCCGTCGATTTAGGGTGACGTTATAGACAACAACAGCATCTGCCACGATGTCTTGGATGGAATTGTAATGCTTGGGTGTCGCGGTTTTCATCGCAGTTTCTAATATCCGATGTGAGCTTTCATTGATGCCGTTTCCTTGTGGGTAATTAGTTGAACTGTAATACAACTTGCACCCCAAGTTCTCGGTGATATAGCTCTTAAAGGAATTAGAGGTGAAAACTGGGTCGCGATCGGCCAGTACCATGGCCGGAGCGCCGAAATGGCTCACCCAATGGTGCCTGAATAACTCTTGAGGTGCTGGTGTAACCGTACTAGGAGTAGATACGGCAACCATATACCTTGAATAATGATCAACCACGACCAGTATGTAATACCTTTCAGAATAGTAAGTGCGCAAGTCGAGACTGACTTGTTGGAAAAGATTTGGGCTTTCCAACGCCCCTTTGTGGCCTCCAGAGGATGCTAGAGGCTTCTGCGGATTGCAAGAGGGCAAGAATTGATGAATTCAATGACAGATGCTTGAAGATTGGGCCACCAAACGAATTTTGCGAAGGCGGTTGGTGGTACGGGTTACTCCTTGATGTCCCCCGTATCTGGATGCGTGGAACCATAGCAGGAGTTGAGCGTGAAACCTTTTTGGTATGAACATTCGACGTGCTTGCCGTGAGTAGGCGACGCCATTATGCCAATCTACAGTTCCTGGCTTGAATTCCTCTGCTTCCAATCGTGCCGCTGCTTGCATTTCTTCGGGTTTCGGTAGAGTGAAATGTTCCGCTACCTGATGGACCAGATGCTGTACAAGTGGAACGAACAAGCACTCTGGGAGCTCTTGGTCATCAGTTGGAACAGATTGTGACAACCAATCTGCAACGTTGTTGTGCTCCCCTTTGATGTGCGCGACCACTGGTTTGAATTCGGATAGTCGAATTGCCCACCTTTGGATTTTCGGAGAATTGAGAGATGTTAAGTTTGCTGGATCAGGGTACAGACTGTTGTAGCCGACCAAATGTCCCAGATACAGTAACTTCCTTCTGAAGAGTGAAGCTTTTGGTAGATTGATGAAGAAGCCTCCTTCAAGTAAGAGGTTGAAAAGTTCCTCCAGGAGTTGTAGATGCTCTTCGACAGTGTTCGTGGCTATCATAATATCATCAATATACACAGATACCTTGCCTTGGTCGATAAGGGGCCGCAAAGCTTTCTTAATAGCTCGTTGAAAAACTGTTGGACTTATCTTCAGGCCAAACGACATTACTGTCCACACGAACACTCCGCGTTCGGGTACAACAAACCCCGTGTATTGCTGACTTCGTTCCTCCAAGCTCACATTCTAAAACCCCCAATTAAGGTCAACCAGACTAAAGACTTGCTTTCCAGATAAAGAAATCAGTAATTCATTAACATTTGGCAATTGATAACCGTCGTCCTGAGTTAGAGTATTCAGATACCGGTAATCGATGACCAACCTCCACTTGTCACTTCTAGGTTTGGGGACTAAATGACAAGCTGAGACCCATGGACAATCTGGGGCTGGTTTGATCACGCCAGCTTTAAGCAAGTCGTCAATCTGCTTGTTTAATTCGTTTCGGAGATGGGCTGGAGTGGGACGGGCCGCAAAACGTTTGGGTCTCCCCTGGACTTGGATCTCCATTGTTACTGTTATGCATCTGCCTGCTTGTGGGGCAAACCAAAGAAAGGAAAACTCGTGTGTGAACAAGGGGAGAAAATAACACGGAAGTGCAATTGTGGTGGCAACAATCCCGTAGAGGAAGATTGGTTCGCTTATAAAAGTGGGAGAGCTAGTAATTCCACCTCTCGGGAAGTTGGTCAAAGACTCGGCTGCCATTGTGGAGAAATTCTGGATTTGCACCCAATTACTTTGAATAAATGGTTGAAGTAAGAGTGCAATGAGTTGACAAAAATGGGAATAAAAATGGACAATGCGTGAGTGATGATCATAAGGGAAGCAATGAAGAAAAACCAACGAAAAACGTTGAAGAATATACAAATGTATGGAAATATAGCCCGAAGGCAAGAGACAAACGTACAAATAAACAAGAGGACGAGGAGGAGAGCAAGCACGGGAGAATGTGATCCTTGCACGATGGTAGATAGGAGGTTTCCAATGCTTTGGATGATGGCGTCCGCACTATTGTTTTGAAAAAAAGAAAGAGGATTCATTATGATTCACGAGAATCAATTGATTTCTGACTCACGTCAAGAGACAAGTGTTACGCTAAAATAGCGAAGACTGGCAGTGGAGTTTGGAGCATGCGTCAAGACGGAGACGTTGAGAGTTTGTTGAACATGTGATGTTTTCACGGCGAGTGCAGCCAGTTAGCACGTCAAATTTATCCCCGCTGTGAGAATTGTGGAACTCAGAGTGAGTATTTCCAGTAGTTGTGATTGTTGGTTTCCTATCCTGACTGTTGTTATTATCACTTTTCAATGTATTAATA